ACAAGCACGGAAAAACAAAGTCAAGCCAGGACGCCAGGTCAAAGCGAACTGACGATTCCCGCCAACGACAGGAACCACCAGACCCTCCTTCCTGACGAACTGTCTGGTTAACGAGTTTGTTTAGTGCTCAGGGCAGTTTGGCAATTGAAAAACAAAATCCACATACTAAAAAAAACTAAAATGAAAGTGGATACAAATGCAAATTGAAGTGATAACACGAAATAAAATGCCAATGTTCCTGGTAAAAAAAAGAAGAAATGATAACAATAATTACACGATGTGGACCACAGGGTCATTATTGTCAGGAATAAAAGTCAGAAACAGTGACGGAGAATCTCTTCATCTTCCAGCAAAAAATCAAGTAATTATGGAAAGTAAGTTCGCAACACCGAAGTGGGAATGATTCATTCTAAGAATGAAAATGAGAATCAATAATGATTTTTGCGCAGCTTGTTTTTATTTTACTGTTCATAGTCTCCATGTTTGATTGCAAACGATCATTACTGTTAATTTCTGCTCTGCTAAGAATCAAATTTATCAGAAGTAAAACGGCATTGCCTTAAATATACAGGTATTTCTAATCTCCTTGCATATATATAAACATACGTAGGCTTGAAAAGAAGCTGTATGTAAAATTCAGTTAATATGTGGACAACAATGTTGCTGTTAAGAATCGTAACTATGTAGCTTTAGCTCTTTTTTATGTTGTGAGAAAATAATTGGCACAAAACGTCTTTGCAGGTTGCATATGAACATGTCCAGTTGCATTTTGAAAAGAAAACCTTCATACGTATTCAAAACACAATCTGCTGATCGGTACATCTTATTATCAAGTCCTGTAGTATTTTTTTCTATCTTTAAGCCATAATAAGTGTATATATATATATATATATATATATATATATATATATATATATAATTATATATATATATATATATGTAATGGGAGGAAAATGCGAAAGAAAGGAAATAGAAAATAAGATGTTAAAAGGTTCAGTAGAGTATGAATGAGGTGTGAAGGTTGACTGGGCAAACTACCCAATGACCAAAATTAGCATGAATGTGCGCGCGAAAGGATGAATGTCTATATTTGTTTGTAATCTTTATATGCTTATGTTGAGATTTATCATTGGTGACATTTCACCATAACGTAAACACACAGAAAATAAGTGCCTACAACACGAATGGTTACCTCAAATAGAACAATTACCGAGCGTAAACAATGCTGAATGAGGGAGTGGTGACCCGAGGGCAGCGTAGGCATGTCGCCGTGAAGGTAGTAAGACAAGGAAAAGGTCTTGCTGCCCTGACTGCCGAACCGAGAAGACGATCTAACCTGCTCTTGGGTATAATTGTAAAGGACGATACCACATTCCCTACATTCATATTCCTCGGTAAGATAATACCATTGAATGATATAACAAATGTGTAGAAATGAATCATATGGGCGAGGTATACCAGCCCGACAAACAGTACACGGTGTTTCTTTGGTGTTTTAGGGACCTTGGGCGCCGCCCATCATCGCCAAGGAATACCGGCAGAGAGGCCCGGGGTGTGTGGGCGTGTGTGGGCGAGTGGAACACATCCAACGAAGACGGAGTACGGGCAGGCCCACAGTACGTGTCTAAGTAGGCGTGGGCACGTGGAGCCTGTAACGCACGATCCACTGACGTTTTCTCGGCCCACGCACGTTGTCGATGCCGTGAATACCCTCACCCGTCCTGTATCATCCGTGGGAACGGATAAATCGGATGAACTACGTGTATAGTGCACAAACAGTGTAGTGACTACGTCCGATACCAGTATTACCATGTGTGAACGTCAGTGGCAGTGAACGTCAGTGTGTCACAGTGAACGTCAGTGAACGTCACAGTTCACAAAGTGTCAGTGGCAGTGAACGTCAGTGTGGTCAGTGGCAGTGGTCAAGTGGTCAGTGTGTGTCACTTTGTGCCCCCGTGTGTGTGTGTCACTTTGTGTGCCCCCCGTGTTGTGTGTCCCTTGTGTGTCACCCCGTGTTGTTGTGTGTCACTTTGTGCCCCCCGTGTTGTGTGTCCTTTGTGCCCCCGTGTTGTGTGTGTCACTTTGTGCCCCCCGTGTTGTGTGTCACTTTGTGCCCCCCGTGTTGTGTGTCATGTGTGTCATTTTTTCGTGTTGTCAGTCGTATGTGTATGTGTATTTTTTGAGCAAATAAATGCTAATTAAAACTTTGTTTATCATATCCTTACAAAGATCAGCCAACAGAGAACAAAAGATCATTTAATCGTTCATATAATAAACATAGATCTTGTCTCTCCGTCCATCAGTGAGAGAGTTTAAGTATGAACTTATCCCCCTTCAAATGGTAGCAGAGCGTGGTTCTCTTAAGTGCTGATTTTTGTAAGTAGATATGGAGACAATTATGAAGTCCGAGGAACACATCTTCGCGTTGCTAGGATTAATAATCATCTTATTAGCAGCATTACTTGTGTACTTCATATACAAAGAAGTGAAAGGGTACAATGGGAGGTGTGCTAGCCCGATTGCGAGGAACGCCGCGTTCATGAGAGGCGCGCCAGACGCGTGTTCGAGTGGTTTAGAAGAGCGTGATCCATGGGACAGGACACTTAGCATAATAGAAGATTTAGTTGCAAATCAGAGTCGCCAACTCAAAAAGTCATTGATAGTACGTAGCGATCCAAAAATAGAGACTTTCAATGGAAAGGGGATGGTGAAAAGTTGGATTAGAAAAGTAGAGCGAGTACTTTCGCAGATGACAGAAGATGAAGATGACAAAGTAAGGTTCGTGCTAAACCATGTAGAGGGCGCCGCGGCTGAAAGGTTGTTTAATTGTGGACGCGAATGGAGGAATGTGAGTGATGTGTTTGAAGAACTGATGAAAGTGTATGGTCGGAGTGTATCAGTGTGGGAGTTGTATGAGCGTATGTCTGTCAGGAAACAAAAGAGTGAAGAGACTGTATGGGAGTTCCTAGACGCATTACTAGAAGTTAGTGATGAATTCCAAAATCAGCGAGGTGTGGAAGAGACTGATAGGAGAATGTATGGCCAGGAACATGACTGAACCATCGCTAGGCGTGAAAATGAAAAAGGATGGAAGAGAAGCCAGATGATTCTCTGGAACAATGGGTAGAATGGTAGCTATGAAAGAGAGAGAATGGAGGTGCTTCAATCGGCGTAATGTGGCTTGCAAGGAAGGAAACCCACGAGAGAGAGAATGGGGAATGAATGCGAGAGAAAGAAATAACATTCAATGTTTCAGTTGTGGCGAGATTGGACATATCTCCCGGTGGTGCCCAAGGATGAGGGCATCTGGAAGGATTGAAGACGACCGAAGGGTAAATGAACGTAATGTGGGAAACTCGGAGGGCCCTGTGGGACAGCGATCCGCCACCACAGGAGCCCCACAAATCAGTAGAAAGAGGCGTTGGCGGAAGTGAACGGAACGTTTTTCCCGTAAGTAGACATATAAAGTTGCATTCTCAATGCCCCAAAATAACGATCAAGGTAGGAGGCGTCGAGCTCATCAGTTTATGCGATACGGGATCAGAAGTTTCCCTTGTAAGCACCGGAATATACGAAGACTTACGTAAGATTAATAATGTAGAGTTACGTCCAACGACAATGAAATTACGGTCATTCGGGGGACGACTAACGAGAAGTAAGGGGTATATTACAGTCGATGTAGAGATCTCGGGAACCATAGTCAAGAACGCGGGACTACTAGTGTGCGATGAAGTCAAGGGTCCATACGACTGTATCCTGGGGATGAACATATTATCTGAATTAACAGAGGTATGGACAGAAATGCATCGTATGAGTAACGCGGAGAAAAATGAATCCCTCGTTGAATGTATGGGAAAAGTAGGAGACGCTCATAAATTTAGAAAGCAAGAAGACTGGGGGTACGCACTCACTAAACAGTCTCAATTACCGATTATACCCCCCATAGTACAAGACTGATACCAGTTTGGGTACCGTCTCTCCGGCAGACGAAAGTTCGAGAGGTTGTGATCGAACCTCTCACGGGTCTCGATGAGGGATGGGTCCCCGAAGGCGTGGTCGTACTTCCCACCGTCATGTCAATTAAGCACGGAAACGGGTATGCCTTGGTAGGAAATCTATCAAATAAAGATTGTAAATTACGTCGGAAATGGAAGATCGGAAGAGTCTCAGATGGGTTAGAAATCAAAGAGCCTCGTGGAGAACAAAAAGTCAGGGTTATTGAGAAAGAAGGGCCTGAGTTAGTGAAAGTGCACGAAGAAAATTTAGACGAATTCCAAAGTGAAAGAGTCGCGAAACTTTTACACGAATATAAGGACGTATTTGCAACCGAGCAAGCGCCGATTGGGAGAGCCACAGGCGTACAACACGTTATACCCCTGACTACTGACGTGCCAATCAAAGTCCCTTACAGACGTATTCCACCAAATCATGCAAACGAAGTAAAGAACCATATAGATGAGTTATCACGTCAGGGGATAGTCTCCCCAAGCTCCAGTCCATATGCCGCGGCAATCGTAATGGTACGGAAGAAAGACAATAGTTTACGTTTGTGCGTCGATTACCGCAACCTTAATAAAGTCACCGTCCACGATGCTTTCCCGATCCCTCGCATAGATGAGTCCGTCGAAGCGCTGTCCGGAGCTAAATACTTCTCGACCTTCGATCTCGCGGCAGGTTATCACCAGATTGAAGTACATCCGCGTGATCGGCATAAGACCGCCTTCAGCACACCTTTTGGGCACTTCGAGTTCAACCGCATGCCAATGGGTCTCTCAAATAGTCAGGGTACGTTTCAGAGATACATGGAACGAATCTTAGGGGACAAGATATTCTCGACCTTAATAGTATACTTAGATGACGTATTAGTTTTCAGTCGGACCATCGAGGAACACCTTGAGAGACTTCGAAATTTATTCAATCGTATGCGAGAGTATGGCTTAAAATTCAAGGGAAAGAAATGTACCGTTTGCGCGACGACGGTGAAATACTTAGGATTTCAG